GACTCAAGAAATATTTAAAACAAAAATTTAAAATTATTGTTACTTTGGGAAGTTGAAAATTTGTATACACTTGGGCATAAATTACATTTTTTGCGTGTCTTATTAGGAGTCATCGTAAATGAATTTCTAATGTCTATTGCTATGGATGATGACGATGAGGCTTCTTCAGAAAAAGAATCTACCAATTCTTGTCCTATAGTTGATTGAGACAAAAATGAGGATTCATTAATTGGAGAAGATGGCATAGATTGGTCATCATTATCTGACCAATGAAAATGATCCTCAGAAAACATATTAAATACAAAAATTTTAAATTTATTTTAAAAAATAAAAATGAAAAAAAAAATCTATTTAGAATTAGAATACAATAATGTATATTCTTTATTTTTCAGTTAAAAATAGATTTACTTTTTGATATTTTTTAAAAATCACTAAAAAATAAAATGTTAAGCTATAAAAAATTATTTTCCCAGATGGAATTCAAAAAATAATAATATATTTATAATATTTATACTATAAATAACTTTATTTTACATCCGTTTTTTTTATTTATAAATATTTATCTTTATTAAAAAATAAAAACTATATTTTCATTCCCCCTTCCATCTGTTTTTTTCCAAGAAATTATTATGGAAATAAATCATTTGATAATAAGTTATTTTAGTTTTATTTCAAAATTGAGTGCAAAATCGTCACAATCCTATTTTTTTAAAAATATTATTCAATTAATATAATTATAAAAAAATGTTTCGAAATAAATTAGTCATTATTAGCATTATCGCTAAAATATCTTCGCGATAGTTGTTTCGCGATATTGTATTCGCGGTAATGTATTTGCTTTAAAGGTTTCGCGATAAATGTTTCGCTATAAAAAATTCGCGATATTTGTTTCGCTATATTGTATTCGCGGAATAGTATTTGCTATTATGGATTCGCGATAAAAGTTTCGCCATAAAATCCATTCGCGATAAACGACAGTCGCGATAAAAGCTTCGCGAAAAAGTATTTCGCGATAAAAGTTTCGCTGAAATGTATTTACTGGCTATAACATATTATTTAAGAATTATATTATAAATATGAAATTGCAAAAGACCAATCTTATATATTTCTTCAATTTTTAGGTATATAAAAATTAATTATAAACTAATTTAATTAGTATTAATAACATATACACATTTTGACCAATTTTGAGAGAAATCGGTCCAATAGATAAAAAGTTTAAGGGTGGTGGCCAGTCTTCAAACATGGGCATTTATGGCACATTTCCCCTAATGGTAGAAAAATTTTGACATGATTTGTGTTCTCCTATGTATGCAGATCCTAAATAATGATTTCATAAATTTACACAAAATTGATATATATAATATAGATTTACTTATTATAAAATAATAATATTCTTTAAATAAAATTCTTTATTATTTTTTTTAAAAATAATGGGTTGTTGTGTCGGGTCTGAACCCCGGGTCTGTGCTCGGGGTTCGTGCTCAGAGCTGGTTTAGTCGATAATTTCTACCCAAACCCCGGGTCTGGGCTCTACACAACCAACCAATTAACAACACTAGTTATCATCTAGTATATTTATAAAAAACATATTTCTATATTAAAAATAATTTTTGTTTAAAATAATCGAAATTCCTTTTAAAAGTAACAAAAATCAAACGTTACTTTAAGTTACACAAACCAACATAATGGTATAGAACCTCTTCGTTATATTTTTAAATGTATATTTAATGCAACGCTATAATTTTCTGCCCAACTCTGTACACAACTGCATACATTAATCTATTTTTTGCCAACATATTAGTAAATTGTTAGAGGACATCTAGTAATTTTAAAATAATAAAAAAATCAGCTGAAGGCAAATATGGACACGATTAATTGGAGACATTTTTATTGTTGCCCGTTGAAAAAGAATTGTTAATACAAATAGAACTCGAATATGTGTTTATTTACGCCAAAGTTGAGAGTTAATTTTAGATTTACTAGCTTAAAAATTATATAATATTCATTTAATTCATTATTTAAATTATATTTGAGAAACTCGGTGCAATAGGATGTGTTGTATGTAGATTTTATAGTACAATAAGTAATAATTTTATATGTGCAATTAATAATATTTTTATATATGCAGTTAATAATATTTTATTATATGCACAATTGCGATAAAATTGCTTTTATATATTCATTTAGTATGATTTTATATGTGCAATTCTTAAAATAAAATATGGCATACTCAATTATAAGTCTTTTTTAAATAAAAAGGTGATAACTTTAATATTGTGTTTAGTTAGACTATCGTTTTAGAGATTTTTGTCCAAAAATACATGTATAATATGAACAAGCCATTAAAGAAATCCCGGCTGAAAACTGGGTAAAAGGCGCCGAAGGCGCGCAAAAGGGGGTATGAGGGCGAAATTATCAAAAATGAGGCTGCTAAAACATTTAACCACTAGACCGTAGCATGGCCAGTCCGCCCCTGGTTGTATGTCTATTTCCAAAAAATTAAGGTGAAAGCTAGAGAATTCTGAGAGTATATTAGGTGTGCTTGTGCTTTACTTTTTAATTAGATGGAATATAGGATTAAAGTTAGAAAGATATGGGCTAGGGTAAATCAAAGGTTTAAGAGATGTGGGATAAGGATAAGAGAGTTTTTAATAAAATTTAATCATTATTATTAATAACTTCTCAAATCTGACATGTCATATGATAAAAAATAATTTCCATCAGTTACATAATCACACTTAATTTACCCCTTTCAACTGACCATATTTTGTTGTTTGAGTGGCGTTAAATTTGAACATATCCATAAAATTTTATCGAAGGGATTTTTTTAATTGATTACAAAAGTATAAAACAAAAACCGATAGTATAAATTTGAGTTTATGTTTTGAAATTTCGCGATAAAATAAATAAAATAGGAAACATACTATCTTTACTTTTGCACCTTTTTGGTTGGTATTTAGTAAAATTTTATATAATTAGTAGTATTACTGCCATATTTTATATTTATCTTTAATAAACAAATAAGGAAGGTCTTAATCTAAAAAGAAAAAGCATCAATCATAAAAGAAAAAGGTCCTATCAAAAAAGGAAAAGAGTCAATCATAAAAGGAAAATGTCCGATCAAAAAAGGAAAAGGTCCAATCAAAAAAGAAAAAGTCCCAAAGGCTTAGGAAAAAGTCCGATCAAAAAAGGAAAAGGTTCAATCAAAAATAGAAAAGTGTCAATCAAAAATGGATAATTCCTATTCAAAAAAGGAAAATCGTATTTTTTTAAAATATTTTCTTCATTTCTAATTTTTTGCCATCTCTATAAGTCAGTTTTAGCCTTTATTTTCCTTCTCTTTTCTTAATTTATTTTTGTTCTCATTTTTTAATAATCCTTTTTTGTCTTTTAAAAAAATAATTAATTTATTTTTCTTACTTCTCTATTTTTATGTCATTTTTAACAATTTTTTTTCCTTTATTTCATCCTACATAACAATTTACAATTTATTGATTTTTTTTCTCTTTATTATTTTAATATATATTCGTGGTGGATTTATTTTATATGATCAACTCCTTTATAAGATATAAAGGTTGTAAGGTTTTATATTTGCACTACCGCGACCGAAAGGGTTAGAGAGATAAAATAAGAAATAATGAAAAAAAAAAAAATTTAAGAAAAATTGACAAGAAATTTTAAAATATTTTTTTAAAAAAACAATTTTCCTTTTTTGATTGGATCTTTTCCTTTTATTTTTTGATCAGACTTTTTCCTCTTGGGACATTTTGTTTTTTTGATTGACACTTTTCCTTTTTTGATAGGGCCTTTTCCTTTTATGATTGATCTTTTCCTTTTTTGAATGGGAAACTCTGTATGTGCAGGGATTCGATATTCATTCCTTTCACTCGTAAGATATTTTTGTTGATCCCAATTATCTTGAGCATGTTGCCATAAATTCATGGAACATTTTTCTATGTTCACTTGAAGTATATTCATATTTTATTACCCAATTGTTTGTTTCTAGTGTACTGTTGGTTTTAGGTTTAAAGTTTCCATACTATATGTTATTTTGATATGGATATTCAGTTTAAAATACCGACAAATTTTGGAACAATTATTTTCTATTTTTCAATATGTAATACAGAGACTTTATTAAAAATAAATTGGGTTTGAGCTTATTTTAATTGATAGCGATACGAACCTTTTTAGATACATTTTTATAAATATGAGCCAAACATATGCAAATGGATTTATTGTTTCCGAAAAAAAGATAAGTCCATCGTAAATAGCTAAAATACCAATATAATCCAAATGTATTCTTGATTTTTTTGGTTTTCTTACGTTAATTAGGTTAATCATAATCATGAATTAAAACATTATACCACTAGTGTTGTTAAACGGCTCGATTTAACCGATTTTAAATTAAAATTTTAGCCAAAATGATATTTGCAAGTTTAGAGAATTCGATAATAGATGTCCAAACTTTTCATTCATATATGAACAACTTCAGGCTTGCGTAATATTTTTTGTCTAAAATATTGGGTTAGCTATTTTGTCCTCGATTGGTTTCATTATAGTTGAGCCTGAACGCAATATCATTTTAAAAATTAGGATTGAATATTAAAATTTCATATGTCAAAAAAAAAATTTAAATTCAAAATACCTACCATATGACTTTTAAACTATTTAAATACTGCCCAAGTCAATTTGAAAAGAAAATTAATTATTAACTGGCCAAATTTTAAAATACCTACCGATTTTTATTAATAATACTGCCTATTTCATATTAAAACTATGCCAGAATAATTTGTTATCTTGTTGTATTTCCCAATATTTTATTTATTTTTGTGTTCAAAATTAAAGTTAAATCGTTTTAATATTAACCCCCTCCTCTCTTCCCCATAGAAAATTCCTTCGTGCCTACCAATAAAAGTTTTTATAATTTATCTGGAAATCAATTTTATTTGGATAAATGAATATTTGATAGATTTATATGGTTAGATACATATTTTGATAATTGTAAATTTTAACAAGTCTAAAAATTGAATATCAATTTAAACTTTAACAAAACATAAAGAAATTTGTATAATTTTATATATATATTCATAGCAAACATAAATATGGTATATTGTATTATATAAATAAGATATAAGAAATTTAAGGAAGGTTGGTAAAAATTGATAACAAAAAATTAAAATGTGGCATAAAGGAGGACCATTTAAAAAAAATATTCCTGTAGAATAAATAGTAAAACAAATGCATACTGGAAAATATTTAAATATTATTATAACAATATATAATATATAAAAAATATTCGCCAAAAGAACGCAAGTTATAATACATAAAACATTCAAAACTCGATACAATTCTAAACTAATGTTGTATAAATGCAATACCGTGTGCTTGGTACATAATATATTAGTCAAAAAGTTGCATAAACATGAAAAGAGTTTATTGATTGTTTTCAAACAAAGATGTTACAGAAAATGAGAATAATACTAAAAAAATATATACTAACCCCAACTCTTCAAAAGATATATAAGTAAATTTTATAAGTATATTGATTGTTTTCATATTATCGAAAATGAGATTAATAAAAAGGATAAAATAAAAAGAATATCTGATTATTGAATCTGTGTTAAAATATAGTTAAACGAGTGAATCTCTCAATTTCCTTGAGTTCTTTGGAAGAATGAGATTGGAAAAGTGGTAGATATTTTTTTTGTCTTGGAAGGATTTACATGAAGGATCTGAAGATATATAATAAAAAAGTTTAATTAACAGAACAGAGTGAGCCAAGTCATATTGATATTTTTTAAATAAACATTTTTTTAAATATAATCGATTTGTCATTCAAACCAAATTTATCATTGTTGTAATAATTAGAATATTATTATTTGTATTTTCATTTATTAAATAGTGATTTATATAAATTTGAATTGAATAGTTACGAAAAATAACTTTTTTTTATATATAAAGTTAATGTTAAAATTTAAATATGAATACGACTAGATTATATGATGTAAATTTTCGTAGTATAAATATAGCGATAAAAAAATGTAATATGAAGAAGGAATTTTTATAAATTTTAATTTTGGTTTTTAATTTTTGTTATGATTTATTTAATAAAAATTAATATTATTTAATAAAAATTAATATTATTTAATAAAAATTAATATTATTTAATAAAGTAATTAGTAGTTAATTTATTTATTCTATGTTATTTGTATTCTCTAATTTCTTATATCTAACAATCACATAATGATTTTTAATTTTCAAAATATGAATACGAATAGTTTTCCTAAAACCGTCCCAAATCAATAGTTTAATAATTAATTAAGTATTTGAAATTTAAAGATGGAACTTTTTCTTCTTCATGGTAGATGATTGGGCTTGTTGTTTGCGGCGCATCAGACCTTCGATATCTTGATCCAATGATTTTTTCTTGTCTTCCAACTTTCTTTTTTCCTCGCTATGCATTTTCTTCAAATTTTCGAACTTGACGTAAAGCTAATATTTATTATTGTTAAAGCAACATATTAAGATAGTCCAGTAGTGTAGAATTTAACAATATATATTATATTCATATCCAAAATTTTAACATTGGCATTAATTCATATGCAACTCTTATCATTTAGGCATGCTCAAATTAAATTTATTATGATTTGAACGTTAATTGTTTTTTTATATATAAGAAAAGAAAAATCTCATGCGAATTCAATATAAAAATGATTTTCTTTAGAGAAACAAAAGAGGAAAAAATTAAAATGAAATATTTTTTTATATATCATTACCAATGAAATATTGTTAAACAAACACTAATAATTATTTACTTAAACTCGAATCAAAATTATATTAAATTCAATAGAAAATAATAATTTTAAAGATTATCGAATGCCATACTCCACTAATGATAAATATCAGGACAATCAGTCAAGTTATAATGGCACAGTGAATTTAATTGAAGTTTTTTGTTGGAGGATAAAATTATCTTCGGGATTACCTGAAATTAGGCGTTATTTTTGGTCGAGTGTTATGATAAAATCCCGGGTTCAGGTCGATCTTCCACAACCTATTTAACAGAAGAATAAACTGAATCCCGGTCCAAAACTAGAGCGTAGTATAGAAGTCTCGAGGCCTTTTATCCAGCTGTAACTCTGGCTTATGGCAGTTCCAGTAAATATGACTGTGAAGGAGACTGCAAGTGTTCTGGTTTAATACTTAAGGTGTCGGAGTCAGCCAATCGTAAGAATATGCTACATTTTACCAAAAGAGATGTCCGCTTTTAATATCAAATTCGTTTCAGCAAAAAAATGTAGATAAGAATGGGATTCTAAATACATACCTGTAAATTGCAGGCCAGATATGATCTTGGGCCCTCCTTTATCTATTATAAATCTAAATTTATATATTTTATGAAATTTTGGCATGACAGGTTTTTAGAACAATCGAATTGTGGTTATTATTTGTCAAGTTTTATTTTATTTATCATGGCACAATTATCACTCAGAATAATGAAGAAGTTGGCTTGAATAATAATCTATAAAACATTGAGACTAAAATTATAGTGATATAGTCATTATTTATTAAAATCATCAAAAGTCTACTTATAAACAGTTGAGTTTTAGACAAATAACAATTATTAGTGCTTTGTATAAAATTTCACTGATATAACATAATATGAAAATATTTAATTAAAAATGGCTCAAAAATCGTTTATAAAATAATTACGTGTAACCTTATGAAAAGTATGCAAGATATGACAATAGTTCATGTTTGGCATTATAATACCTCTTTTTCGGATTCTTTGAGTTCTTGTTCCTTATCCTTTACCCTCTGAACAAAGCATTTTCTCAATTCCTCTTCTCTTTTTTTGATTTCAGTTAGCAGTTCTTGGCGTTTATTCTGGTAGCCCTCCTGTGATAAAATATCATTAAGTGTAGTTTAAAACTTATTAAATGAATTATGTATTCATTACTAGAGATGTGAATCCGGACCCTGAACTCTCATATTTTGGCTGAACCCCCAGACCCTTCTTAAAAGTGGAGGAAGCAAAGGGTTCTAGTGTCAAAAAAATATTAAAAATAATTTTTCTTTTAAATTCATGAAAAATAAATTATATTTTCGTGAAATCATCTTTTTTTCTCAGTATTTTTCAAAATCTTCTGGTTTTTATATTTCCATTTTATAGGTAATATCTTGTTTGAATTTATATCGACTTTAGAAAGTGAAATGTTATTTTGTAGTGAAGGTAATAATATTCTATTATAAAATGATAATTTATTAATATGCTAAATAATTGGGATAAGTTGGTTTATTTTAAATCCATTTTAGAAAGTGAAATATTGGGAATTATGTAGCAGGCGCGGAATCAAATAAGAGATGGGTGATCCCCCCTCCATCGCAAATTTATCTGTTCTCGTAAATACCATTTGAAGTAATATAAATTTCCACCTACACCCCTCTCTCCCCAAATGATATATACAATATATCACTATAAGGAAATTTGGAAGAAAAATTAGTAAACGTTAATAGTTTTTTATAATAACGACTATAATTCAAAATCTTTAGAAAAAAAGCATTTTTATAAAAATAAGTGAAAACACAAAATTATATTTATAAAAATATAAGATAGTCAAAAGAATAAGTGGACCTATATGAGAAAACCCCATCTAATAGTGCCCACCTCCTAGCAAAATCCTCGAAAGGCCTATGCTTTGTAGTGTAAGTACTAATATTTTATTATAAATGATATTAAGGCTACGCGATTAAATAAAATAAAAAAATTTTTTACTTATATTATGCATGTGTATTTATTGCCTTTTTACTTTCTTTTATATTTTCGAGAAAAGGGTAAAAAATAGAATATCTACCTGTAAGGTGAGCAGTGATGAGGGCCCCCCATTATTGTTAGGGCTTGCTGAGTCGACGTTATCTTTCAACCCCATATTTTCCAATCTCTTTAGTCTGTAGAGCTGGTAATGTGAGCTGTGGGTCTTCTCTATCATGTCCTCCATATTAGTTCTGATTAACATCTCACGGAGCTTCACGAAATCGCAATGTGATTCGTTTTCAACTATATTATATTTAATTAGAAATTAAAAAAATAATTACCAAACATGATTATAGGAAATTACGCATTGAAAATGCATTATTCGTAATCGTAATGATACGTATAAATAACTTAGAACTCGAATAAATAAGGTAATTATTTGTATTCGTAAAATAAGGATAAGATAATTGGTCCTATACTAAACCAAACCAAATATAGCAGCAACCCTCGTTCTAATTTTAGAAATACTTGGAAATCTTCTCTAATCACGCCAATATTACACTTACCCTTCTCAAATAATTATCATACTTAGATCAGATGTAATAAAAATTTTATTATTATGAAATAATAAACAATGTAGGGTATATTTAGAAAGTCGACTCAGATGAATGAAAATTAAAAATGATTTGATTTTTGGTGTCGAATAGAAATCTATTTTTAAAATATTTATCAGAGACCAAAAGCCCTGCCCGGAACCAAACCTAAGATTTAAAAAATCCGGACCGGGCCAATTTTTTAAAGATAAATTGAAATCATAACAATCATTCAGTTGAAATATCATATAATTGATATTCATTTACTGCTCATATTTTCAATTATTTCCTTTGAAACAATTTGCATAACGGGTCGAAAAATAATTAAAACTAAAAATCCCGGGCTGGATAGAACTTAAAAATGTAATTTTCAAATCCAAAATTTCGATCTCTGCAGGTCTTTGATATCTTATAAATATTTTTTTATTAGTTAAATACAATTATTTACCCTGAACGATGCCCCATGGATATTGGCGAGCTCTAACCATTTTATTACCAATCTTGACGAAGTCAGTGCTACCGACGACAGCGAATGGAAGTAAATTCTAGAACACATGTTGTGTGTATGTTATATAATATATAGTGACCTAATTTTAGTATATTAGAAGAAATTAATGTAAAACGGGTAATTCAAAGATAAAAAAAAGAAACGCTTAACTTAACAAATTTGCGTTTTCTTATTTTGAGGAGAGGTATTTCAAAATGGGAGGGGGAGGGCATTCCTCGTGTATATTCCTGGTAGTTGCGCCAGAAACAAATCTCACATAACCTCTAGCTCATAAACTATTATAAAGTTTTGATTTAAATTTATTTTAAAGATTAAGAATTGGGGTACACATTGATATAAAATTTGTTTAGTTACACCTAAATTTTATTGCCTTTTTTTTGAAAAAAGCAAAAACGCCAGTTATACCACATTTCCCCTATAATTTTTTTTAATAGTTTAATTTAAAAAAAAATGAATAATTTCTTTTTGAATTTAAAATTTATATGAATATAAAAATAATAAAGTACATTATGAATTTAAAAAATTATAAAATTTTGGGAAGGAAAAATGACAGGGGCGAACGTGGACGCGTCCCATCCAAGGTTACTGTCTTTAGGATGCGTCCCCTCCTAAAAAATTAAAGGAGGGATGAGGGGACGTTTGATCATCACAAATTTTATTTTTGCCAATTATAATATTGTGTAATTAGGTCATGATACATAAAATTTTTATCAATATTAATCAGGATCTGCAGAGTACCATTTGCAGGGCCGCCCAAATTTTTTTAAAAAATTTTTTCTATCCGGCCAGGTTTTATATTTTCTAACCGGCCAGGTTTTATATATTCAAACAGGTCTTGGCCCGCATTTTCTTTAGAAATTTTTTTTAGACTAGGCCACGCTTTTTTTAAAAAAAATTTTAAGATGGCCTTTTAAAATATATATTTATTTTTAATTTTTATAGAAAACAATTGCGATTTAAAATATTTGGTTTTATAATATACGGCCTGGCATTTAAAATTTTTTTTTAGGCCCTGCCAGTATATTTAAAAAATTAAAATACAGCCGGGTCCGGGTATGCAGGTCTCTGATATTAACTACAGAACCTTCTATTGCTTTTGAGGGGATAGTAAACTTATTTTGAGGCCATAATGTATAATTAAATAATATTGTTTAAGGTTTTACTAAATATTTTTTTTAAATGGAAATGATTAGCCTGCCTTGTACAGTGCAATAATACCATTAGAATATGCAATGACTTACATCCTGGAATGATGCTTAGGCAATTTAACTCCAGCTCTAAAATTCGCAGCATTCTGAAAAAAATTATTAATTTGGATAATGGCTATCAGAAAGAGAAGGTAAAATTATGTTGGGCTCTTGATTTTTATGATTTTCATCAAAGGTTATTGTCGTAATTGTCATTACTTGTAAAATGTAAATTATGATGTAGATACTTGTAAAATATAAAATGATTATATGATAATTGAATTTTTTGCAAATTTTATTTGGTTAAAAATTAGTATAAATAGTCATATTTAATATGTAAAAAGAGATCGATAGGAATATATATTATTATAATTTAAATGTTTTCATTTTAAAATAAAAGTTCGTTTTTATAAAATCATTTTATATCGATTCTATTAATTAATAAAATTATTTTGTGCAATTTGCACTTTGATGAAATTATTTAAATTAAATTCAATAAAATTGTTATTTCTCCTTGATACTAAGCTAATAACAGTTATTAATTTTAAAAAATAACTAAGTCTGGCCGATTTTGGTCAATTTAATATTTTGCGCCTGAAATTAGATAATTAAAAAGGGCAATATTTTAATTATTTTTTTTAGTTTGAACCCATTAAAATTCTATACTAGCAATTGTAATTTTTAATGTTTCAAAACATACCTTTTCACTGGCATCAAATGAATAAAATAGATTTTTTTAAAAGGTCAAAAATATAGTGCAAACAATTTATTTTAATCACAAGGAGATTGTAACAAATGTGCAACTGTTTCCATATTTTTATTAATGTAGTAAATATAATATATCAAATGCGTAGAACAAGAAAGTGTACATTCATATCGTCCCCTCCAGAAGTTTCGTTATCCGAGCTTAGTTTGCCTCCATCCATCTTGTTGTCTCCGACCAAAGACCCGCAATTATAGCGATCCAACCCGGTTCGTTCGGGCCCGTCCAATACCTCATTAAAGTCATCAAACGGTCCGCCTCCTAAAGGAAAACGGTAAATTTTGACGCCGGCCGACTTGAGCTCGTTCATGATTCGGCATTTGAATCGGGTGAGTTCGACCTTAGACACCGTGTCCGCCTTGGACACTATTGGAACCACGTTGACCTTAGTGTCCAGTCCACGCATTACCTTGAGGTCTAAGGCTTTGAGACTTTTTATTGGTATATTATAAAAGTGATACCTTATATTATTTTATAAAATTTGAGTTTGTTTCATCTATTGGAAATAATGAATATCCCCAAAATAAGATATTTAATTCACATATACCAGATACGAAGGTTTGACGCTCCGAAGCCATAAAATCATATTTCTATCCAAGAAAGTGCTGAGATAAAAATATCTTACACACCTTAAGAAATAGGGTAGGTAATAGTATGGATGTTAGCACTCAAAAACTGTATCTCACTCATGTATTTCCGATAAATCCCAGAAAAAACCCCCAAGAAAAAAAACCCCGAAATTTTTTTTTTCATGTTTTTCTAAAATTTACTTAAGACCAGATAATAAAGGCATATTTATAAAGTATAGACAAATTTACATTTTAGAAAAAAATACTATAAAAATATAATTTAATTATAAGCTAATTTTTTTAGGCCCTAATTCATTATTTAAAGGTTACCCATATACCATCCATAAAAAATGCATAAACAAGATAAAATGATGATTACTGGGAAAAAATACCTCCATAAAATAACCCATGTATTTCTTATTTTCATAAAAATATCTATCCACAATTACGATACAATGATTGAGCAGTGTAAAACTAACAAAAATAAAGTATTTACTATATAATTTTGGTTGATTTTTAAATACCTTAAACATTTCCAAAATTAATCGGTTATGTTTTTTCTTCCATGTCCTAATAAAACCAAGTTACCCTTTTTTATATAACTTCTCGAATGTTTCCTGATTTAATAAAATTCTCTTTAATGGTGAAAAGTTGACTCACAACTCGATGTGGATTAATTAAATGATACAGAATATTTGAAAAACAGTATAGAAATTTGACAAAATCTGATGTAATACAATCTTTATAATTTTTTAAACTTTTTTTATCAATCTCAATTTCAATTACTAATCCCTCTTTATAATAATGTTGGTTGCAAATAAAGGTTTTAATTTTTTTATGTTTAGAAAATTAAAATGTATCTTGATTTAAATTTTATTCAATTTGCTAATTAGCTTATACAAAAAAATTGGAAAAATCTTTTAGTTTTTTAATCCTCTTTCTGCAATAATAATGTTTCTCAAGGCCCCTGTATATAAGAACTTTCTTCCAGTTTGTAAAACACGTTTTGATATAGATTTGATTCACCAAAAAACTGTATCAGCTTCAATTAATTATTCAACCTATACATATAATATTTTAAAGAAAATCTTTTTCCATTATTATTAACAGTTTCTTTGAGTGATGTTGATATTGTTTTTAAAAAGGCAGATTTGGGTAGATTTTTAAAAAGGACCCTATATTAAGATTTTCGTCAAAATAATATTATGTATTGGGAAATCGATATCTAAATATATCTGCCATCTATGAGCCTAATCTCCTGACTTACATAATATTATTTTGGTTATCATTTTGCCCGAGCCGGTCACTAGATGTTGGCTTATTTGTGGTAAGGGAGATCAGAGCTATTCAGCGCAAGGGGCTTGTCGGTTCAACAGATTTTATTTAAAAACCAGACATGTTTAGAAATTCTAATTTAATTATGTAATAAAATATTTTATACCCTTCAGCTATTTAAATTTTATTATGATATGTGTTTTTTAGGTAAAAATCAAAATGGTTTTACACCACAATATTAGGTGGTATTAAAATTTGAAGAGTTTAAAAATAATAAATTTAACATTATATGAAATTTAAAATCCTCTTTTCGCATTTCAGAAGTTTCATAATTTTATATATATTTTAAAAGGTATTAATTATATTAGTAACTAGGGGCTAGTAGAATCAGGGCGGCTACTCGGATAAAACAAATTATGCTTATAAATATGATATATTACAATATAAAATAAGTATTTATTGTGGCCAATATTTACAATAGAATTAGGAAAATTTATTAAAAATTTTACACATTTTTTATAATTAGAATAATGTCATATTTTATCATTTTTATATAAATTATTTTTATGTAAATGGTATATTTATATTAATAAAACATTGTCTACGAAAATAATGGAATAATAATATTAATTATCCTATAGGAAACTTAAAAAAATAATTGAATCTACAAGCCCAGGTTTATGGATTTGGCAAAAAAATCACTTTTATTAGAATCAATCTTGAGAAAAAAAGTATAATATAATTTAAAAATTTATCCATGTATAAGGTTAGATAAATGTTAAGGTATCTTATGGTATTTTTCAAATATAATTATTTTCGGACCTATGATAATTTAGAAAAAAAATTGCGCCGAGTTTTAAAATATTTACAATAAGAATAACTTAAAAATCTAACCTATCCATTTTATTTTTGAAAGCTATTTCCCTTATTCTGAATACTTAAAAAAATTTTAGGGGGAGGGAAGTTGCAAATTTTTTTGTAGAGGGGAAGTTGATATTAAGGCCTAGAATTGGGCCTGTGTTCTACTTCCTCCCCCCCTCTTGCATTACCCAACCCCCTATATTATTATGATAAAGCATCCCTAATAATCCCCAATGTGTGGACTTGGGTACGCTGACAAAATGCCTGCTAAGTCCGGTCCCCAGTCCTATTCTCCGACAATCCCGGACCCTCGAACTCTGTCGATCCCCCCTCCCCGATGATTGGACTCGACTGTCTAACCATTTCAAAAATGGAAAAGGTGTGTGCTATATTAAATGCTATTAAGTTAGGACTATAATTTTTTTTTGTGAAAATTTTCACAATTCTTTAATTTTACCTTAAAAATGGAAAAGGTGCGTGCTATATTAAATGCTATTAAGTTAGGACTATAATTTTTTTTTTTTAAATTTCCACAATTCTTTAATTTTACATTAAAAATAGAGTATATTATTTAAAAATTTAAAAGGCGTGTGCTATTTGCTATATTGGATGCTATACTAAGTTAGGACTATCAAATCAAATACTAGATAATTAAGCAATTTATTTGAATAAACATAAATAAAAACTGATAATAAATATATATAATTTCAAGGAAAAAGATAAATAGTTCTATGTAAATTTATATTATTTATATTCATTTAAATTTGACATATATTTAATATTATGAAAAAAAGAATATTCACATATATATAAATGAGATTTTCTTCCAGTTCTGGGGATGCTAGCCTTAATTTCACCAATATCCAGATGGTATATTTATTATTTTTTAAATTACGCCAATTGAACGAAAAAAATATGAAATTCTTAAAAATTTTGAGTAATGAAACTTTGAATTATTATTTCAAAAAATTTCCACCAATATCCAGACGATCACATATATTTATTATTTTTTTAAATTAAAAAAAAATAATATTAAAAATTTCCCCGAGTTTCAATGAGTTGCCATAAAAAATATTTGAATAATCTATAAAATTGATGGCATTGTTTGTAATTATTAACATTCAGATGATATTATTGTCCTAGTTCTGGAATAATTTATTTCTAATTTTTGTTTAATTAATTACTAGTTGTAGTTTAAATTATAAAAGTTAAAATATTTTTTTTTATAATTAAACGCCTTATTGTTGATTGGTAGAATGTAACAAAAGATAATCCTAAATAATTATTATGATATTTTGAAAAACTGATTTTAATTATTATGCATTCTGTGATTTTGATGTATGAATTTATATTGTGATTTTTATATACTTTGGAAATTTTCTAATATTCTTTTGATATTAAAAATGAAATAAAAAGTTTCTTCAGAATAAAAATAAACTTGTACTACAAATTTGAGTTTAAGTTGATTAGTATAAATTAAAGTATAAAAATTTGCATTGGAATATAAATAATTGTTTGAATATGAAAATTAGTTTTTCCGCTATTCCGGTTCCCAAACTTTGAATGAACCACATGAAGGAAATACTCTTTTTACAGGTGAAGTGAACAAGCGTTTTATTTAATAGGCACATAATAATTTATTTGTTTGGAATTAGATTCTCCCGTGATTACTATTATTCGAGATGGCTCACTTTTTATGATGCCATCCGCAAACTTTGTTTTCTTTAATGAGTCAGATCTTTCATGGAACTTTATCAAAATAAGAAATTGGTGTTCACAATTTGGCATATTCCATCATTGTCGCGGTTTATTTATTAGATTAAAAAGATATTTTTGCTTAAATTGTTCGAGATAAATGAAAGATTTTAAAACAAAATTGACTTAATTAATAAATGGGCATTCATTTAATCAATATATTGCATGACTACATTATACTCTAGAAGAATAAGAAAATTATGATATTGAATCTATGGTCATTTAATTGAGATATTATCAAATATTATTATTTGTTTAAAATCGAGATTTAAAACAAATAATTTATAACGATTTTTGCCAATCTTACAATTTATACATAAAAAATTTGATAATTTAATGATATAAACAGGGGTTCGAACCGAACCCGGAGAAGAAAACCCAGGTTTTTGGGGAAAAAATTGAACCCGAACCCCGTTTATAAAATTTTCAAAACCTCGCGAACCCGGGAGTGTATTGTTTAAATTAATATGTATAGTAAAAATTATTATATTGGATATTGTTAATTTAAAGAAATACGTCTAAATAAAATTTTTTAAATCTATACATGATGCTTTGTATTTTTAACTATATTTTGCCTATAAATAAAATAAAAATTTATTTTTCCTATAAATAAAATAAAAATTTATTTTTTATACCAAATTTATGTCTAGTTTTTTAATTATTTAAATATAGAATATTATTTTTTATACCAAATTTATGTCTAGTTTTTTAATTATTTAAATATAGAATATTTTTTTTTATCAATTCAAAAATACTTAAACGTGTTCAAAAATATTTTCCTGAACCAACCCCGAACCGAACTCACCTATTTTTTTTACCCTTAAACCAAACCCGAACCGAACTCTCCCTGGATATAAACATTCTATAGTTTTTAAAGCTACAAAGCTGAATATTAGATGCTAACAATATAGAGCATTTTCACTAGAAAAAAATTAATAAAAAAACAGGCAGAAAATTATTAAAAAATTTTTTATTTAATGTTTAATAGTTAGTAAATTTTTATTTTTGAATTCATTATATATTTTCTTAAACTTCCTAATGTATTAAGGAAGAGTTTTTTGAGCACTCTAGACAAAATAAAAAGTTTATATTCATAAAAATTGTCCAACAGAAATGTAAGAAACTTTATAAAAAAATGTTTGAGCATAAAAATAGGAAGATATTGAAAAAACAAGCTTAAAATATCCAGTTAACAAAATATTAAAGCTTAGAAAATAGATTTTATTTTCGGGTAGGGGTAGTAGAGATCAGCAAGGCCAATATCAGTGTTGTTAAAACCTACTTTTAAAAGTAGCGCGCTATTGCCAATGTAGTTTTAGCTACTTACGCTACTTTAGAAATTTTTAAAATATTTTTTACGTATCTCTATTTCCACAATTAAAAAATATGAATAAAATTTCAAATATATATATATTTTTTTATTTCATCTCAATAATAACATTTTCTCACTGTCATCCCCAAGTCTAGAGTGACGGTCAAAAAGTATAAGCTATAACTAAATTCAACACGAGCACGCAATGTAGTAAAGGTTTTTCGACCCGTAATATTTTTAGCCCATCCGAAAATATATTTTATAGAGATTTTCAGACCCGGTCTAGTCGGATCAGTAATTAATTAAGCAAAAATCATAAATTTGAACCATTCAAGGTTTTAAAAGCTGAGGGCCGGTCCGAAAATTATTTTAAACAAATTACCCGGCCAGAAAGAAATATTTTGCACGGGCCGGGCTGGGTTGCAAAAGGATTAGTCTATCTTGGAAATAATAAATAAGTCTTGTATTTTCTTATTAAGGGTATATTTTTAAGTCTACTATCATAATAAAAATTAGATTAAATCATTATTATAAAAGCAAATAGAATAAAATATAATAAAAATGTAATTTAAAAAAAGAATTTTTTCCGGGGAAGACTTAAAAAAAAGAGTATTATAAAATAAATTCCACCCCCCCCCCCTCCTCTTTTTAAATTTATATTAAATAATTGGTTTACGAGTGTCCAGTGGGAGAAATGAAGTAGAGACAACAGTGTATCCTCGAGTCATGATAATTATGTAGGGAACGTTTAATCTTGAGTTCCTCTTGCAGATAATTCTCGAACTGATCATCGATGTATTGAATGATAGGTTTCCAGCTATAATATTAAAATTAACAAAAATAATAATTTTTTGAAAATGGATCAAGTGCAGAGAGATTATTTTATAGTTATTTATATTATATAAAAAAAAATTCACACTTCAAATCCGATTAAACTATTTCTTTCTTCTTTTAAACGCTTTTCAAATCACAAGTTTACTTTAAGAAAAAAAAATTAATCTTTATCTCAAATGTTCTCTTCCTTTACTCTTCCACGTTTTTTCTTTCGTTTTAGAAGTTCTTATCTATTTTCCTATTTTTTACCTTTCTTAATAAGCTTTTATAAAATAGCATTTATAAATTTATTTATTTTAAAGAGAGAAGATAAAGAAAAAAAACTAAGGAAAAATATGCCAGATAATTTTTTTTTATAAATCTTCGAACAAACTATTCATACGTGTAACATAATTATACTTAAATGAAAATCTGTACACCGATTCACTTAATTTTTTTTTCGCCGATACCGATAATTGAATTTCATAATTTTTTGCCTAAATTTATGCCATACTCTTATTTAACTTCGAATGGGGTAAGCCAAGAAATAATTTTAAAAAGTTTTATTAATCAAAATTAAAAAGAGATACAAATAATGATCAAAAAATGCATATTATAAAAAATTGTTTGATAATATTTATGTTAAATAAAATAAATTATTTTAAAAATGGAAGTCAGGCCGGAGATTTTTTTTAGACTTTCAGATCTAAACTAAGCCGGGTTATTTCCCCAAAATTCAAAATTTTATTTTTAAAAATAGTCACGATCCGATCCGAAAAAAAGTAAGGAAGCAAAAATATTGTACTGTTGAAAAAGTAGGATTCAATAAAAGCGTAAAAGTAATAAGCGCTATAGGAAAATAAATTTTTTTGGTGTTATTCTTGAAAATAATACTTATGATTTGGACAAGATCGTGTCCAAGAGATTGTTTGTTTTAATCTGACAAAACAATGAATAATAAAATTTGAACGATAAACATTGACGATTGTTTTTAATTTATATTAAGTTTTATTGAGATATTATTGTATAAATTTGTTTTTATATTTTTTTTCCGGACATTGGTTACTTTATTTGAATAGTAGCTGATATAATATGTTATCAAAAGGTAAATGAAAAATATAAAAATATGATTTACGAAAAGGATAAGGGGTAAAATAATGAAAACAAGGAAAGAGAAAGGAAGAAGGAAAGCATAGACATGGAAGATTATTCAATGGAAGAGATAAAACTTAGATAGTTAGAGAGAATAATGGCGGTAGCAAGTCTTTGTCGCAAAAGGGATTCCTTAGGTTGATCGGTTTTTTACGAATACATTTGCCTAATTCTTTAAAAAAAAACATTGAGCTTTGCTACCGAAGGTGGTGAGAAATAAAAAAGAAGGGTATATGGAACTGTATTTGATGATTTTAAGGGTTTCTACTAGAGCGAGGACATTGACGTTGTGGTTAGATGGTGCGTTTAGATCAATGCAGGTGAAGTCCCAAACCAGGAGCTGACCCTTTGAGCAAGGAATCAAGGTCATTCCAAAAGTACCTTTTACATCGGTCCTAGAAATGCCGGTTGGTTCAAGTCTAGATGGAATGCCTGCGGATTTGAGGGCACGTAATATGATATCATTGCATTTGGTATGCCGTGGAAAGCGGCCTCGATAAAAGCAGCAATGGAGACAATGTCTGCTCTTGCGAACAACGCTGGTTTCGCAATGTTTACATTTGTACAGTAGAACAATTTCGCAATTAAGCTGTAGTCCAATAGCAAATCTTAGCTCGTCAGCGGAAAGCAACAAATCAAGGTTGTTAGAGGATATAGTTTAAACTCGTAACCAGATCCTTGATTCAATTAGTGAAAAACTGTGAGATCGTCATCGTGAAGACTCAATTTTAGATAAGCGACGGAGCCTTTGTTGAGTGGAGTATCTCAGTCTCTCTGTGAATACGAGGGGTCGTGGTGTTTGGGACAATGACAAATGGTCTGGGCTTCCGCTAATAAGGTGTCAGAAAAGTGAGAAGCTGGCTAATGCGTGAGTCAGATGAAAGAAGGGAAGCTATGAATCTACTAATGGAAAGATTTAAAGGTGAGAGAAAGCCGATATTCCCGAGCTTGCATGGAAGAGATGCTTGTAACCATGAATTATGGTTGAAATGGAGATTAAGGATCTTTTCAACAAGAGATTTGATGGAAGTTTCGAATGATTTTAGTGAGTCTGGAAATTTGAAAATAGAGATGGATCGGAGAGCGTAAAGAATTTTAGGAATGTAGTAAATGTTTTGAGGAGAAAAAAAGCTTGATGAGGTGAGAGAAACTTAGAGATGTTTTATGAAGTAAGCTAGATGATGCATTAGTGAAGAAGTGATTGTTGGATTCCAGACCACCAACAGGAGAGCCGAGATGAGTGAGAGATGGGAGCTCGGTTGGTGGAAGTTATTGTTGAATGGGATGGAACAATAAAGTCGATAGATCTCGGTTTTTTGTTCATTAAGCAAGTGTGAGTCCATTTGCATGGCGTGTTTTAATAATGGCGAATGACTTTACGACCTCATTTGGAGGCCGCAGAATATTACATCGTCGATGTACCAAATGTGCAGTGGAAAAATACAGTTGGCAGAAATGTTTTTGACCATTTCGTTGATTCCTATGCAGAAAAGTATAGAGCCCAGAAGATCACCTCGTTGGATCCCTTCTGATAATGAAATTAAATAGTGGTTGAATTGGAGATGAGATGGCTTGGAATAGCAGGAGTGGAAAAATTGAGAAAAGGTGGGAAATGAGTGGTATATTTGCGGGAGAAAGTGGGAGCGGCGAATAGAGTTGAGGGCATTAGAAAAATCAATTTTAATGATGATTTAGTCACTTGGGTTGGTTTGGAGATGGATACGAGTAGCGTGTGTGGCTATTTCGCAACCACCCTGGATGCCAATACCAAGTTGGTGGGGTACTAAAATTAAGGCTCTATTGTCCTTAATTTGCGCACCTCGGCAGGGGTGAAATCAGTAGGAAATATGTTGAGCGGAGGAGGAGGTATGAAATCACTTCCAGAAGGGTGCTTTAATTTAAGTTTGTTGAAACTCGCTTCGTTACTGGTTGCAAATGAGTCGTCAGATGATAGTAAGCGGAGAGAGGATTTGATATTTAGGTTTTTATTTTGTTGGAAATTATCTTGGCCTTTAATTGGAGGCTGGAAAGATTTTTAGGATATGGAGAGATACGGTGGTTGTAAGGGTGAGGGGATGTATAGTTGCGTCTTTGTTAGTTGGGTTAAAGATTTCTGAATCTCTGAATTAGGAGGTTGGAGAGTCGTGATGAAAAATAGAAGATTTAGCACCAATGATCAAGAGAGAAGTTATTTAATAACTAGTGGATAACCCGTCAAGTATAACGGGAATAAAAAAATCTTAAACTATTATAAGAAATTTTTTTTAATACCTTTTTTTTATAAAATAAAGGAGAATCTTTTGTGAATATATATAGATTTTATTAAATTTTATGTAAAATATATGAACGTAAAATATATGAATTTGTAATTATAAATGTAGGAAGATATGGATAAATAGGTATTGTATATCATTTCCAGAGATCACCTATTAATGGTGAGAGAAAAGTATTATTTTGACTTTTAATGTTCAATTGGCTAAATATAATTTAAATTTATTTGTTAAATTTAAAATGCAATATGTACTTAGGAGTAGTAACTTTGATTGGCATATTGTGGCATAGTTACAAAGTTTAGGTATTTGAGCATTTTAATTCCATGAAATAAATAGGTATATAGAGAGTCCATTTGACTTTTTGTAAAGATAAATCTTTTACCTGAGAGGGTAAGATTGATGGGAATCATAAATTATTCCACTATTATATGGTTTTTTTAAATATTTAAATATTAATTTTGTTAAATTTCTTATGTTAAATTTCTAAGTCGCCGAATTTCTAAGTCGAGATTTTACGTAATCTTAAATAATATATTTCCTTAATGCTGAAATGGATTTTCTTTTTTCAATTTTATTATTTATCATACAACTTTTTTATTTTTCATTTTTCTAAGAAAAAAACAAAATCTTTTTCCAAAAAAATATAATTTTTTATTTTCATTTTCTAAGAAAAAAAACAAAAAAAAAATCTTTTTCAAAAAATACAAATTCCAAGAATTAGTCAAAAAAAATTAGTCACAATTCAAAAAAATCGATAAAAGAAAATAAAAAAAAATAACAATACAAAAATCGATAAAAGAAATAAAAATAATAATATCTCCCTAAGATTTCATAACAAATTTATCTTTATTTTTTTAATTGATATTTTAATAATTACTTGGGTTAGTTATTTGAGCATTTTATAATTAAATAAAATTTACCCAAAAATGCCAAAATCTTTAATAAGTAAAAATTTATTGCAATTTTCATTAGAACCATAAAAGAGACTTCCAGTGATAATTTTTTTTTACAATGCAAGTGAAAATGGAATGATTCAAGATCATTTTTAATAAAAATGCTAATTTATAATTAAATAAAATTTACCCAAAAATGCCAAAATCTTTAATAAGTAAAAATTTATTGCAATTTTCATTATTTGCAATTTTCATTAGAACCATAAAAATGACTTCCACTGATAATTTTTTTTACAATGCAAGTGAAAATGGAATTCAATAAAATATTTTTAAATTGTGGGCTTTGTTGGTTTGTATAAATATTTATATTTTCCATGATAATCTATATATAATATTAAATTTTATTTATATAATAATTTTACTTGACAGGGTAAGAAATAATTTTATCTTCTTAAAAATTTAAAAAAGGTTGTGATCTTCTTAAAAATCGTTAATTAAAAATGGTTGATTATAAGACAAAGAAAATAAATTTAAACCAATAAAATAAATTTAAACCAATGAAATAAGACCTTAATAAACCAATAAAAATAAAGATTAATAAGCCAATAAAAATAAAAAATAATAGCAAAATAATAACATATATAAGAAAGATTATATTACAAAATTTAATATAGAAGGTGGCTGAGTGGGAAGAACGTTTGCCTTTAAGACGTTAAGTCAGGGGTTCGTATCCCCTTATGTACAAAAAATTTTCTTAAAATTTAACATTAGAGAGATATAGTCTTCATCGATTTATTTAACATTAAGAAGATAGGAAAGTTGATAGGAAAAATAAAAATTAACATTAAGAAGATAGGAAAGTTGATAAGAAAAATAAAAATTAACATTAAGGATATACCAAAACGTTCATTTCTTGATTACGGTGATTATATATATAGATGATTGGAGACAGGTGGAGAGAGCTTTGGCTGTACTCTGGAATCTTTGGGAATTCTAGAAATAATGGGAGGTTTGTCGGATTTTAGGATGTTAATGATGTCGACATGAGTGGTAGGTGAAGGGGGAATAAATGTGTCTGATGTGGTTGGTGTGTAGGGCGTTATTGGATGAGGTGGAAGTATGACTGTGAGTAGGAAAAATGGAAAGGGGGTTTTGGAAGGTAGGAGAAGAACGCTTTCCGGACTCAGGACAAACAATGCATTTGGTTTTCTGCTTAGTGATGAGGTTATGAATTGAAGAGACTTACTTATGAAAGAGAGAAAAGACTGAGGAATATATATTTTTAAAAAAAGAAATTGTTATTGGGTGTATTTTTAGGTATAAATAAAATGTTTAATTTTGGCAGAGATTTAAGGTTATATAAGAAACATTGAGATTTAATTGAGTTTATATTTTAAGATTGAATGTATTAGAGCAAGAATTTTTTTTTTAAATAACGAAATTTGAGTTGCTATCTTAATGAAATATAATGGTAAAGAAAAATAAAATTGTACTATATGATAAATAAATAAAAAAATTAAGAGTAAAAAAAATGCTATTTTTATGGGGAGATTTAAAGATATGTAAGAAAATTTGAGTCTTGGAGTATAAAGAAATTTATTTATTGCTCAGATGATTGTGAGGATTAAATGTGTTCAAAATATATGCATGTTATGATGTGTAATATACTTAAAAAAATGTATAATATAAATGTTGAATTATTTGAAAGGTTAAATGTTATTAAAATATCTGTATATGAATTTATTTAATATTAATGTGTCATTAAATAAGTTTTAAAAAAAAGTAAAATATATAATATATATGTTTATTAGGTAACTTCTGATGTATAAAAAAAAAGATGGCAATGCTCGATTTTGAATTGGTCGTTGATATTGTAAATGATTGGTCAAATAGGTTTTGTTGGTTGGTATGTTGTGGGATTATTTATTTGGTCTGTTGTTTTTAACTTAAAGAATAGGAGGTCCTCATAAATTTGCAAATATTTGGCAATGTTGGTACTGGTAAAAAGATATGAGGGAATATTGAAAGATGCAAAATTGTTGATAACTAGGTAGTTTAATTTGAACATTTGATTATTGAATTTAGTTTATGATATAAACTGCATCATAGATGGGGGGATATCAATTAGTGAAGTGTGTGTCTAATGCATTTTCTAGATTGTGTGGATTAAAATGACAGTCTGGGTGGTAGGCCTTTTTGAATTGATTGGTACATTTGAATTTATTGAAGGTTTGATTGCATAAATACTAAATAGCTTTGTTGTGATTATATTAATACTGGCATATTGGTATTGTTGTTGAAGTATATTTGGATTAATAATAGATGGTCTTGGTGATATCAATGATGGATTATACTGGTTTTGAATTGATGGGTATATTTGAATTTCGTTATAGTTTTGATTTTATAAATATTTGCTTTGTTGTTATTGTGTTAATACCGGTATATTGGTTTTGTTGTTGAAATATTTTAGAATATGTCGTTGTAAATATCCTTCTTTTTATCTAATGCCTCTCAGAAGAAGCGAATCGAAGACTTTACATTTCCCTGAAATTTTTATACGAAGAGTCAAATATTAAACATACTTAAGTTTGTTCATCATTTGAAATTTCATCAAACGCGAGCTTTTTATTTCAATTACAGGTATTATGTGACAACATTGGTTTATGAGTGTTATACTAGTACTGTTAAAATTACTAGTTATAGTTACATTTCAAAAGTAATTAGTTGCATTGCAAGTTTAAATATTTGATATACTCATCATCTTCAATATTATTATTTTTATTATACAAAACTAGAATCAACAAATTTAATCAAAGGAATTTAAACGAAAATACAATTTAAGTAAGGAAATAATTTATAATTGCACTGAGAAAAATATACCTTATATTTATTTTTCATATTTAAGGCTTTATAAATATTTATTTGGTTTTAACAATAAACTATCTTCAAAATTGGTGTCAACGTAATCGTTTTCCTCTAAAATAAGTTTCAGTAAACTAAAGAAACGTTATACAGAACGTCTTGATATGAGTAAGACATCAATATTTAATAAACAATAATTTTATATTTGGGAAATATAAAGATGAGCATCGGAAATTTAAAAAAAAGGTAATAATTGTTATATTGAAATAAATTAAATTTACTTAAAAATTAATTATATTTAATATAAATATATAAGTTATGAAACCAGTATTTGTAATGTAAATTAATAATAAAAAAAACCTATTTCGGATATGTTTTATCAAAATATCCGCCGATCTCATTATAAAATTATCGGCGTGCAAGCCTACATTATATAATAAGTATACGGCGTTCTCTTATACTAATCGCCAACGAGCACGAGCGATATTTAATGCAATATTTATTTTTCCGACCTTTCCTCCTTGTTGATTTGGTCCCCGTAGCCGACAGTGTCAACTATGGTGAGCTTGAGGTTGACGTTGCCTTCCCTTAATTCGTATGTTTTTGATTGCAGCGATACCTGGAGCAAGTTATGAGGGCTGGGCAACGAATCGAACGATGTATTGAATAAGGAATCCATGAGAGTGGATTTTCCTAGGCCAGTTTCGCCTAGAAAAGTATAATTTCAAAAAAGGGGTAAAATAATTGACATAGTTTTAACTTTAATTCTTTCTTAGTTAGGATGCATGCGTAGGTTAATTTATTTTTTCTATTAAAATTATAAGGTATCGCGAATATAGAATAAATTTCCTACATGTTTTTTAGGGCTTTATATATAAATAAGTATAATAAAAATTGTGCAAATATTTTTGAAGTATGGGAGGAAAAAGTTTGGCTCTATCAAACAAATTTTCACAAATAACGTCATAACAATATCAGTTTGAAACATTTGCATCAATTATCGAATCGGTTATTTAAAAATGTACAAAAATAACATAATATATCCTCAAATCTCGAAATATGGAGAAGACATGTAAATTGTTCAAGGGTGGCGTTGCCATCACATGTTCACTTTCACGTAATTCTCAATATAAAAATATAATACCGATTTGAGTATTTTATTTTATTCAAATATTTTAAAACTATTAATTTTATGCAAATTTCTTTAATATAATTTTAAATTATGCAAATTCACATCCAACTAAATAGGCTACTTTTTATTTATAGGGCTTCTATTTTTGTAATAATGAATAATAAAAAAGACAATAAAAACAAGCCTAACTCAAAACATTCTCCAAAGTCTGTTTGAGCTTTGAAAACACCTGAAAACGAAAAATGCTTTTGAACCCTCGACCATTGTTAATATATTAAAAATCAGAAGATAATAAACAATATTAAAACCACAGTTTATAACAATAATAATTATTTTTTCAAAGTATGTTATAATCTATATATATAATCACCGTAATCAAGAAATAAACGTTTTCGTATATCCTTAATGTTAATTTTTATTTTTCTCATCAACTTTCCTATCTTCTTAATGTTAATTTTTATTTTTCCTATCAACTTTCCTATCTTCTTAATGTTAAATAAATCGATGGAGACTATATCTCTCTAATGTTAAATTTTAAGAAAATTTTTTGTACATAATGGGATTCGAACCCATGACTTAACGTTTTAAAGACACACGTTCTTCCCACTCAACCACCTTCTATATTAAATTTTGTAATATAATCTTTCTTATATACGTTATTATTTTGCTGTTATTTTTTTATTTTTATTGGCTTATTAATCTTTATTTTTATTGGCTTATTAATCTTTATTTTTATTGGCTTATTAAGGTCTTATTTCATTGGTTTAAATTTATTTTCTTTTTATTTCATTGGTTTAAATTTATTTTCTTTGTTTTATTAATTAATTAATCAAAATGATTTTTAAGAAGATCACAACCTTTATAAATTTACCAATTTTTAATCAAATTATAAATTATTTCTTACTCTGTCAAGTAAAATTATTATATAAATAAAATTTAATATTATAATTTATTTAATAGAATTTTCCTCCATATTTCAGGAAAAAAATCTAATAATATGGTAAGAATGAATATTATTAAATTTAAAATCAATTATTGTTTATAAGTTAAATTAAACTAATTATGATTTGTGAGTGTTAATAATAAAGTAGTAAGTCAAATTTATTTAATGGAATTTGCCTCCATAATTCAGAAAAAAACAGTAGGATGAAATATTTGAATTTGAACAAATTAAAAATCTAATAATATGGTAAGAATGAATATTATTAAATTTAAAATCAATTAATGTAAAAAAACATTAGGATGAGTTAAATATTTTTAAAATTTAATATTATTTTATCATTTAACTCAAATTTATTTAATAGAATTTTCCTAGATATTGATAAATTAGTATTGTATGTCATTTCCAGAGTTCAAAATTGTTGTTGAGATAAAATTTTTATACTGGCATATTTTGGGTGTTAATATGAGATAAATGTATTGGCTAAATATAATTTAAATTTATTTGTTAAATCTAATTTATAATAAGTACTTAGGATTAGTGAGGGAGGTTAATTTTTTGGCATGGGAAGATATTGTTAAATAGGTATTTTAAACTATTTGCAAAGTTCCCAAATTGTGGTTGAGATAAAAAAAATTTTTACTACCATATTTTGTGGTGGTGAACGTATATTTTTCATAAAATCTTTATGTAAGAAATCCTGTTAATGTTTTACAGCGACATACATTATATCAGGTTATCCAGGCTATTGCCGATACCTCAATTACTACTAGATTTTTCTATATAGATGCTCCTGGTAGATCAGGTAAGACGACATATCTTTATAATACTCTATTACACTATCTTAGAGGACAACAAAAAATGTCTTACCCTTTGCTACCACAGGAACTCCATACTTCTAACCTGTGTAGATTGTCCTGGGTTCAATTGCCACGATTTTAATCTTCCATCTCCTGACCCTATCACTCAATCTAATTTATATGACCCAATAATAGAAGCAGATATCGCAATGGTAATGTTAGCCAATTTAAATGTTTTACAGCGACATGCGTTTGATCAGGTTATCCAGGCTATTAACTATACCTCAATTATTACCAGCTATTTCTATATAGATAATGGGAAAAAGAAATACTCTCAATCTCCTTATTTAATGGAATTTACCTCCAAATTTTAGAAAATTCACTGAATGTTCTCCTCTATTCAATAAAAAAAAAATTCCTGTAATAGTTCATGCTTTTTTTATTCCCGTCATTCTTGATGGGTTATCAACTAGTAATATATATACATTAATAATATTAGTATAATATATTAGCTTTTTAAGATCAACTACTCAACTCAATCGCGCCTTTGCTCTAGTTGTAGTTCCCCCATCGACTTGAAGCGGCATAGTCTGCACTGCCGTTTTGACATGACGTATCCCTAAGCACATCCTATGCAATGGCATTATTTAAAGTAGAGATCTGCAAAAGTAGGTCCGGCCTCAGGCCGAGTTCGGACCTATTTTTTTAAAAAGAAATCGGGCTCGGGCTAAGCCGGGCTTAATATTTTTTTAAAAAATTCGGGCAGGATCGGGTAGGGTTTTGGAATTTTTTTTAATATTTCTAAATTTATCAATTTTATGTTCAATTTTTAATGTATAAAAATATTAGATTTTATTTATAGAAACTAGACGTCATATAATATATATCATTTATTTTGAGTAATTATAAAAATTAATTTCTATATTTAAATAATTCGGACCGGGCCAAAAAATATTTTTTTAAAAAATTCCGGTTTGGGTAGGGCCGGCAAAACTTTTAAAAAAATTGGGCCCACTAATTTAAAGTGCCCTAAAATCTGCTCAGATTTCATCGACCTTAGAACCTCTCAGTCTCATAAGATCTGATGGAAAACGTGTTGTTGACATTACTCAAATACCTTGGAAAAGAGATAAATTCCTATTATGGGACTATTCCTGTATTGATCCCTTAGGCCCTTCAATCTAAACTCAAACATATTGAATCTTAAAAAGCTGTCAAAAATCAATAAACGAAATATCCGAAGATTATATTTTTATACCTATGATCTCCCCTACATTAGCTCGGAGTCGTACTTATTTTTCTTCAAAGAATTTGGCTCATACATCCATAAATTTACAGATGAACCCTGCTGGGAAAGTTTTCACAGGAAAAGGCTTTTAATAGCCATATATAAGTAAAACTACATTAGCTTCATTGGAAGACTCCTTCTCAGGGATCCTATCTAAATATTTAATTTAAAAAAATTTTTAAGCTTTTTTATTAATCCTTTTTTTTATATATAATTGTTTTTTTAAATGTTATCTTTACTACTTTTTTTATGTATATAATTATCATACTAGTATTAATAATGTATTTATATTATTGATGAAGATCAACGGTCCGGTTCTATCGGTCATTGACTGATTGGCGAACCTATCTTTTTTGAGCCGCAATCTGGAACGGTTTTTTAAAATTAATTTTCAGTTCAGATAAGTTTTTTATTAATATTTAAATTTGCCTAACTATATTCAATTCATACAATTTTTAGAAAAATTTTACAAATATTTTATTTTATATTAATTTTCTAGAGGAGTTATTTTATTTTTTGCGACACTTTTTCTTTTTTATTCAATTTTATAATGTAATATACTATGAAAACTAAAAGTTTGTTTAAAAAAACATTTTATTTTTAAATTTGATTTGATATTGTTAACATGAAATACTTTTATATCTAATAAAATGATAAGAATTAAATTAGGTTAAAACGAAATCTTTTTAAAATAACAAAAAATTAAAAGATCGGCCCTGAACTGTTTTTTTATTTGAAAGGTCCCTTCATTAATTATTACAACATATTCTGGAAAAAAATTTAAATTATGAATGAAGTAAAAATATTTAATGATTGGGACAGAGATAAAAGTTACAAATTTAAGTTAAAGGGATTTAATCTTTTAAGAATAACGGGAGAACCTAAAAGAAAAAAATGGCGCACTCAGTAAACAATCTTTTACTCCAAAAGCACCTTCCATATTTTAAATTTTCCTCAACTCGGCGAATGGGCAAACCTCGAATTGAGTTCAGCAAAATTTGGCGGATTAATCAAATATATTAGTTTATGAAGATAAATAAATGAACTTTAAAATAGAATAGGCCTCTTCCGCATTTTCTTTTAAAAAAATGGCACTTTACAATATACATACACAAAGATAATATTAGCATTTACATCTTCCTTTTTTTTAACCATGATGAAAAAGCTTTTAATTTATAATAAAAACATATCCGCAAATTTATCAATCAACATCATTTATTACTTATTAGCCTCCCCAATTTAATAAGTTAGAAAATAAGAATTATTTCTTTTACCATAATCAATACTTAATTAACATAATCTTCTATCGATATAAAAAATTAAAATTAAATATCATGATATTATATTATATTTTTTTTAGCAAAAAAAAGGAGAAGAATAATTTAAGTCAAGGGCGGTCATTTTGGAAAAGGAATTCTATATTATCTTACTATATCAATAAGTGTGTGGCTTTCTTTGTGTATTATTATAATATTGCATAATACTTAATATAAATAAATGTAACAAGAAGATGATGGAAAACATCTTTTCCTTTTGTTTTAAAAAGATTTCTTTTATTCTTTTTTTAAATTGATTTATTTATATCATTTGAAGTGTATATATCTTTTTTCTCCTCTTTGCAACAAATGCGGAAAACGTCTATAAAAGAATGTTATATTTTAAAATTAAATAATTTTTATTTATAATTAGTATAGTTTTATCAGTTTTTTTGCTAAATTTTTAGATTTAAGAAATAAAAAATTGTAATTACATAGTTGTTGGATAATTTTTAAGTTTTATTATATTATGTTTAATTTAAATTCAATTAAGTCAAATTTTTTTCAAATGTAAAATATAAAATAGGTTCAAGTAAGCATAAGCGTGGCGAAGGAGGAGGGCGCCCCATCTTTTTCAATTTTGCCTGTCCATAAATACCATTTCCCACCTATACAACCCCCACCTCTCTTCCCTCCAAAATATTAATACATTAGATTACATTATAAACAATAATTTGAAAGAAAAATAAGTAATAATTTATAATTTTTTAAATAATGACTATAATAGAGATATGCAAAACAACGCCCAGCCCGATATTTAAAAAAAAACAAATTCGGCTAGAACTGAATAGGGCCTAATTTTTCGAAAATTTCGGCCGAGCCCAATCGGTCTTAAATTTTTAAATATGATATTACATTTTGTCAAATAAATTGAGAAATTTTAAAATTCTTGCAAGAAACAAGGCGCTTATTAAATTTTTCTATATTTATAATAATTCGGGCCAGGCAGGACGGACAAATAATTTTTATTTCGGGCAGGGCTTTTCAGGACAAATTCCGTTCGGGATTGAGCCGAGCTGGACAAGTTTTTTAAAGATATTTCGGACTGGACCAGGTTTGGGAAATTAGGCCCGATTCAGATCACTAGACTATAATCAAAATTTTGAGAAAAAAAAACTAACAATTTTTATAAAAATGTAAAATAGCCAAGGAACTACAATAGGCGAACCTAAAAATCTCTAATAAAATTTATGAAATAAAAATCCACCTATAAATGCCCCCCCCTCCTTCTTGAAAATCCTAACCGCGCCTATATTTTAAATTAATTTTGCAAGCTCTAAACTAATTGGGACATCAATATATTTTAATAAAAAATATAAGACATAAATAACTATTCTGTAAATTTAAGTAAGCGCAAACTTTATTATTAAAAATAACTAATAAGTATTTTTTTAAAAAAAGGAAGTTACCTATACATAAAATGTTGAATATGAATCCCTGTCTAATTGATTTGGATACCAACTGTTCGGGGAACGTGTCAAAACCCACGTGCCCATTCAATTTCAAGGTTCGAATAGATGAATCCTGTTGAAAAAGATAATATTACAATTACATAAAATATAAATCGAATGAAACTTTTTTAAAAAAGCAAGCAGTTTATAATTTTAGAAGCAAAAAGTAAAAGCAATAATGCGACCTAATTGAGAGTTTTCGAAAAACCAGTTTGAGTTTTTATTAATCTTTATTCAATTTCCAAGATACCAATTGAAATGCATTGCTCAATTAGGTGGCACTATAATTCACTTTTGGAAATTTATTTCGTGCATATTTATCATTATTTTTTTATAATATGTTACCAGTTAATGTTATATTTTTTCAACCTTTTGAGTGGGTTTTTTAAAAAATGAATACAATTTGTGTGAATTTTTCCACATATTTCTTATATAAATTATAAATGATTCAAAAGGTAAAGGCAAAATAATCTTGGTATTCTAAACATACCGAATTTTTCCGGTAAAATCAGATTTATTAAAATTTAAAAAACGCGCTCAAAAAATGATATAAGTTTAAAAAATAGCATATTGACGAAAAAAAACAATAGCTAGCATATGCGTTCCCTTCTTTTATAGACATTTTTTTTAATTTTTATGTTTTACCTGGTTAAAGGGGTTAATATTTTCATAATATAAAATATTATATCACATCACTTTTCTAAGTTATAAAGTTATAATTATACAATGAGATAGCATCATATTTAAAAAAATACAGACAATTGATGATCTGGTTGTTAAAAAAAATATTTTTTTGTCAAAATTTTTGTTACACACTCCTTGCGTTTATCTTATCCTATCGATAACATAAAACTCTTATAAAACTATTTGGTTTGAAATGTAAACGTTGGTATCAGAGTTGTTAAACCCTACTTCATAAAGTAGCGCGCTACAGCTGTCGCTATATGTCAAAAAAGTAGCGCGCTACTAGTTACTATTTTTAAAAGTAGCTTTGGCTACTTTTTGGGCTATTTTTATAAATTAAATATAGTAAGTTCTGATTATAAAAAATTTTATGTAATAAAAATCTATTTATGCTAATATTCATTTTTTATTTATTTAGTTGCATTTTAATAATAAAATCATTTCTATACTATAATCCCCAAATCTAGAGCGACGATCAGAAAGTATAAGTTTCGCCTTACTAAATAATCTCAACACTAACACCTGAGGGCAAGGCAGTATTTAATTTTATTTACATATTTTTAATATAAGAAAAATTATCAAAAATACTCTTTTATATTTTTAGATTAAAAACGCGTCTAGGGATTTTCTATTATATTAGTATCCTTTATTTCAAAAAAATTTCAGTGGAAGTCGTTTTTATGGTTCTAACTAAGGCATTAGTGTCGCGACAAAAAATTGTTGTATCAGGGGATATGGTAATTGATGGATTATCAACCAATAACATTGGCTGAACTGTATCAATTATAAAATCAACAATATCAGTCAATATCTGAAAAATATTGGCATGTGCAATATTATTAATCAATTTAGCTTAAATTGAATTGGTATTTTTCGATGTAGTCTCTTATATACTAAAATTATTACGATGTTTTTCTATCTCTTCAAAATTGTTGGCATGAACATCTTATAAAATAAATACTATTAGAATTTAAAAATGACAATTACCTTTAGGTGTTATTTGAAGTTATAGCTACTAGATTTATTTAAGGATATATATTTTTATATTTTAAACAAATAAATTTGTAGCCACCTTTAGTTTTTACATTAATTGAAAAATTTGTATTATTGTTTTCAAGAAAATTTTCTTCCAGGATACCTTCCATTTCATTAATATCAAAATTGTCTGACTCACATCGATTTGGATATCGATTTGCGATGACATTTTAAATAATTTACACCAGATAATTTAGGTTTATAATACAAAATATAAATTTTAATTTTCAAAATTAAATAATAAATTATAATATTATATTTAAATTTTCATGTTTACAGTTAAATTCATTATATCCAAAGAATGCCATTAAATAAAAAAATGTTATAAGATATATTTGCCTATTTTTTTTATAAAACAAGAAATTAATATATATGGTGAATTCCATAACCAACAAAAAAAAGAGCGCGCTAAAAAATAAATAATTGGAAAAGCGCGTTATTCGCTATCGTTACCAAAAAAGATAGCACGCCACTTTAACAACTCTGGCTGATACAACATTAAGTCTGGTAATTATAGCCTGATAATGATTTGGAGGTTACTATTATGGTTTGTTCGTATCGTTTTTTTTAAATAAATTATTTTTGGTTTGTTTTATTACGAAATTTCATCTGAATTAATTCTGAGAAATAGGATAATCTCATTAAGGAACTAAATAAAAATTTTTATAAATCCTGCCCGTTTTTTAAAGTTTTCCTAATTTTAGCGGTTTGATTTTATAATTAACTTAAGGTTGCGTGTAAAACATCAAAAAAATAAATTTAGAATGCTTTAATAACTTAATCGAAAACAAACAATCCCTTTTTAATAAAAAAAAGGCCTTAAAACTTTTTATAAAAGTTTAAACATTTTAAATCATACGTATGCTAAAAGTTTTATTGATATCATGCCAACCCTAAAGTGCTCTCAATTTATTTAATGCTCAACCAGATATGATTTATCAAGCTATCAAATAAAACCTAGGACTTTATCAAAATGAGATCTGTTCAATGTAATTAATATTTTTACTAAAGTTTGAAATCGATAATTTGTTAAATTTAGATATTTAAAATTCCTAAAAACAGTGAAAACGAGAATTTGATTTTTTTTTTAAATTTTATATCTGTACCATAACATCGTTAACTGTTTCGCTTAAATAAAATTATTTAAAATTTAGTAAAAAACTTAAAAAACTAAGTATATACTGATATTATTTTAAACAAAAATATAAATCCATTATAAAGTAAACTGAATATCAGGGTGTAGAAATAAAAAGAATTTGATAAATCAAAATTTATTATTCAGAATTTTCACCGTTTGAATAATACATAGTGGCCTTTCCAATGCTTAAACATTATAATAATATTAGATTTTTCATCAATGTATTTTATCTTATAGTAACCCTAACAAATAATACTCAAAAATATTAAATGAAAAAAAAAACTAATTTCCCAGCTTTTTCTAGTCCAAACCTGCTTTCAAAATTGGATTGGACTAGGCGAGGAAAACATTCATACCAAAAATTCCATTTTGAGAGCTCAACGTCTTATGATTCGACACATTCTTTAATACAAAAAAGTGTAAATATTATTTTACTAAACGTTTCTGATTCAGTTTGGTATTTAATTATTAAATACCAGGTGCGCTCTGCCATCATTGTTCGACGCATTGTGATATGTTTAATAACTTTTTGCAAAGGATTTTGTGATTTAAATGAATATCTTTAAAAGATCTTTTAAGACTGATTATTTAACTTTTTGGTAAATTATTTAGTCGAATATATAAATTGTATCTATTAACGTATTCTGTACACGCTCACTAAGATTTTTTAAATCGTAAAATGTTTAATATTTGTTTCAGTAAGGTTTGAACCTCTATTTGCTAAATCTCGAGGCTTACATAATATTATTTTCTAATATCTTAATCGGGCCGTTTTCAAAAATCGACTCATAATCGGGCCGTTTAACAGCACTAATGAAAGATACCTTTTCTATTATAAATATAACTAATTTTCGTAAAATGTTTAAAACTTACTTTTGCATGTTTAAATAAAAATTTGACGGTATTCTTTATTTTACTATGAATAAAGCTATCACATAAATAAGAGGGTACAATATTAAAAATCTAATTTAAATATATAATAAAATCCGATTTTTTTTAACTTACATTTTTTGAAAATAATCAATTATTTAAATATACACCCTGCTAAGCATATAATTTGATCTCGCTAAAACCAATACTAAATAATAGGGATGTGCCAATATTTTTATCGGATAGGGGCCGATATTTCATCCTTTTAAAATTGGTTATCGGCCGATATTATAAAAAATTTCCCGATCCGATAAAATGGTGTCGTAATTTTTTTAAAATTTATTTCAAATTTCATAATATATTTGTTTATTACTTATTATGCAATAATTGATTTATCAACAAAAATGAAAACTTATTATAAAAAATGCATAAATATATTTCTGTTTTAAATTGAATGTCGTACCTTTTAGTACCATTACGGTTCTTATTTAAATTTATTTTTAAAATAGTTTACTCCCATTCCGGTTATTTTTGAACAAATATCGATTCGTTCCTTCTTGGTTTGTTCCGGTTTAAGTTTTTCTTATTTGTCAAATAAAGATATTTTAAAAATTAAACCAAATAAAAATTGAATAAAAATGAGTCGAATTTCTTTATTTTATAATAAAACAAAACATTATATGAAATCATGAAATAACAAATTAAATGCTTACAACGAATTATTCGTTATTCGATTCGAATTTTGACACATTTATTCGATTTGGAAATTAGATGCGATTCCAATAGATTGAATAATGAAAAAGATTATTCTATCGGATTGCGGATATTCTTTGAAAATATTATCATTATTCGAATTTCTTATATATTTTAAAATTATTCAAAAATATATCATTCGAAATTATTCATAAATATTAAAACATGTTTCTTGTGAAACTTTTTATTCTATTTTTTTATTTTATCTCTTCCATTTTTTTCCCGTTTGAAAAACTTTTTTAAAAAATAAAATTTTCGAATCAAATATTCGAAAAATCTAATCAAATATTGGTTTTATTGAATAAGAATAATAAATACCATTATTTCATTTATATGATTTGATTCGAAATGAATAATCCAATTATAATAAATTTGTACCATTTATTTTTTTTAAAATTATATTTCAAATTTCAAATCATTTAAAATTATTAAATAAAACTTAAAACCCGTTATAAACCGATTAGAAAATATTATATCGGTTCGGTTCTTAACGGTTTCGCGTTTTAGTACTGATAAGTCTTTGAATATTTTCATGGAATTTATAAAATTAAATATATCGAAAAAGAAAATTTTATAATATCAATGAAAATCAAATTGTTATTTTATCAGTGATAAAATGATGATAATTTTTTTTAAAGAAAAATGAATGCATATGTAAATTTAAAATTAAATATTTTAAAACAATTTCACATAACGAGTAATAAAAAGGGGAAAATAAACTATATATAAAATATGTTTTTTTTTAAAAAAATTTTTAAATAAAATTTAAAAAAAATATATACATAAATAATAATCACGTAGGTAAAATATTGGCAGGTATAATTAATTAAGTTTATAATAATAACTAAAATAGTTGTATAATAAATATATATTTGTTGTTATTATTATAAATCACTATATTATTGCACATTGTCAATTAACCTGAAAGGGTAATTTACTGTCAAAATCATAAAATAAATATCAGAGTTTATGTATGAATGCGCGCATATTTAGAAAATGCAGAATTGTGCTGTTTTGAATATGAGGTGTTGTAAAGGCTAAAAAAACGAGAAGGGGGTGCGGGAGGAGGAACAATTGAGTGATTTTTTTTCATTAAAATTTTAAGGAAAAAAAAAGCTTTTAACCGGTTCTTAATCAAGATTCATGAGTTCAGATGCATAATATATTTTTTATTAATTTTTCCATTTAAATAAAATTTTATTTTTTTTAAAAAAAAAAATAGAAAAAAAACTTAATTAGAAAATTTCAATAAAACTTAGTAGAATCTCATGAATTTTAAAAAGACGTAGAAAAAATATTTCTTTTATTTATTTTTTCTTACATTAAAATGAAATTTTTTATTTTCCGGTCATGGGTTACTTTATTTGAATATTTACTGATATGATATGATGTCAAAATGTATTAGCAAATAATTAATTTTTTAAAAAGGTAAAATAAATAAAGGTGAAAAATTGTAGAAATAGAATTTACAGGAAAGGATAGGGGATAAAAAAAGGAAGCTTGGAAAATGGAAGGTTATTCAATGGAAGAGATGAAGCTTAAATAGTTAGAACGAATGATGGCGGTAGCAAGTCTTTGGCGTAAGAAGAGGGATTCCTTAGGCTGGTAGGTTTTTTCACGGATCCGTTTGCCTAAATCTTTGAAAAAACGTTGAGCTTTGCTACCGAAGGTGGTGAGAATGGTGCAGGCGATGGGTATGAATAAGAAAGAAGGGTCTAGAAATGTACTTTATAGTTTGTGTATTTATTACTATAAATTTATTATAATTACGCTAGTATATGAAAAATCTTAACTAGATGAAAAGAAGATATATGCGTTTTTACGGAGTCTTTGAATGAGCACACTCTCACGAGTGGAATTTCGCAGTATATAAAATAACCAAGGGAATGTAAATTGGGAGGGGGGAGCTAACACATGACTAATATTTTTATTTTATTATTTTAGATGCACAAAAAACTTATATATTGCCACAACCCAAAGGAGGGGTTCCATTAGAAGTTTTCTATACAAAATGATATTAAATCGATCATTTTTTTTGTATTTATATTATTCTACTCTTTATATAAAAAATTAATTAATTAAATATAAAAAGGTATTTTTGTCTTTTATTATATTAAAAAGGAAAGATGATGAAACCCCTAAATAATATTTAAACAATCTAAGTAAAGCCTTGTGTAACATAATCAAATTTAATATCTAATAATCCGTTTTACAAGAATTTTTTTTAAACTAAGGAATTAGGTGTTGTGTACATAATTTTTTTTATCTAACCCTAGATTTAATAATATTATCTTAGATGATGTATACTACTAAATTGGATATTTATTAACTAAAAGTGTATGTACATACATATAGGAGTCATCTCAGTAGCGTCAAGGGTGGGAAGGGCAGGGACTTGAGCCCATTGAAAAATTTGAAGAGTCCCCTCAAAATTTTGAATTATTTTATATCAAATGTAATTTTGATAATGTTAGCTAAAAAGATAATTTTGGATCATGTTAACTAAAAAAAGGTATGGATAATGTTAGCTAAAAAAAAGCCTGATATTGTAAAGGCTAGTGATGCCCCTGAGTCAGTTACAGCACCATTTTGTGGTTTGCATGTCACCTCATTGTCTATTTATCATATGAATATGACTCAAAGAATTATTTTATATCTAATGTAATTTTGATAATGTAAGCTAAAAAAATAATTTTGGATAATGTTAGCTAAAAAAAGGTATGGATAATGTTAGCTAAAAAAAAGGTATGGATAATGTTAGCTAAAAATGTATGAAAATAATTTTTTGAGCCCCCTGAGATTGTAAAGGCTAGTGATGACCCTGAGTCAGCTACAGCACCATGTTGTGGTTAGCATGTCACCTCATTGTCTATTTATCATATGAATATGAATGCACATTAATCTCATTTAATCGACGTGCAAATTAAAAAATGGCGCTACACCTGACTCCAATATATGCACACTTTTTAGGTTCATTTAATAAATAAATCGCCAGTCTAGTAATATATAAACATTATTGATTATATTTGATGTTTGAAAATGTAAAATATTGGTAAATTTTGTGGAAACTTGGGTATTTTAAAAGTTGTCACTTGCTTTGTTATAAAAAATGACTCTATAATCTATCCCTTAAATCAAGTAATTATAAAAGAATTGAATTTTTCGAATATGTTAATCAATATAATCCTGACTGAGCTCTTGTTCTGAGGCTATGGTAGATATAAAATTTAATACATCTACGGATAATGTCATCTGTTCTGGCTTATTTCGCTCTCCTTGATAATATAAAATTGTATAAAAAAAAATCCAGGAAGCCATAAAATTATTTGCCATATCAGCTTCTATAGCAAGTAAACTTTTTCAACTGCAGCTAGTTTAAAAGAAAAAGGAACATGCCAATAACTTGATATGTTAGATACTTAATTGGAGATCAATTTTATTTTTTAATTTACTTAATTAATGTTTCTTAATTATATCTAATAATAATTAGAATAAAATAAATATAAATAAAATTATTGCCTAATATTTAAATTTAATACATAACATTATAATAGACAAAGATCTTAAAGAATATTATAAATACTTTTAGTTTGGAAATATATTTCCTAATTCCATTTATAATAAAATTGGGGTATAAAGGTCATGTCAGACTTGGGCTAAAAAAATCAATTTTTCTAGTAGATTCCTACATAAAAATTTCTGAAATAGCAAAAATCAGTGAATCAAAAGAAATACTTGGAAAGAAATTTCATTTATATTAGCAACCAACTTTCTATTTAAAAAAAATAATCAAAATTTCAATAAAATAGTCAAATTCTACTTATAGATTCATTCCAGTCTAACACTATTTTGGACTGAATATTTAATTTGATATTTGTTAAATCATTCATTATTAATAAAAAGTATTCCTTCAAAAGTATTCCTCATATATTCCCTCTTATAATCATCAGTTTTATTTATATTTAAAATTTCAAAACTAATGCTTAAATTTTTTAGAATTATCGCCTGTAAGAATTTAAATTCAATTAATACTATATTATCCATATAATGATGTCTAATCAGTACCTTTATATTGAATATGAATATATAATTAAAATCACAGGAAATAAATCGGTTAATATATTTTGGACCCATAACTATAAGCATTAGGCCCAAATCCCTATGTCACATATAAATTTTTTATTCACTAACTTAAGTTTAATTGTTCTTTTATTAAATCATATTTAAAAAATGTTGTATTAATAAAAATCAAGTTAAACCAAAATACTTCAATTATCCACAATCAATAACCTAATCTTATCAATTTGACTTGCATCAATTTAATAAATGATAAAAATATGAATGCATAACTAACATTAATAAAATATAAAAAATAAGTTGTACATTTTTTCAAGCAACGTTAAATACTACATTTAAATCACTGATGCAGCTTTTGGTGATAACCATCTATAAATGTTTTAGAGTATAATCTATATATTAAAAGGTGCTTAACATTGGCGTACGCAGCGAGGGAGGGCAGGGGGGCAAATCCCCCCAAAGCCAAAAAATGCAGATGCCGGATATATTTTTCAAAAATATTTTTGTTTAGAGTGTTGTGCAGATTTAATTTAAAACATATCCATATTTTTTAATTCGTTTGTAAATAAAAATTTTAACTTGTAAAAATTGATAAGAATATATAAATATGTTATTTTAACAACTTTTTACAAGTCAAATAATTTTATTTTCAAATAAATTAATAAATATTGAAATGTTTTAAATTAAATTTACACAGTACTATATTAATTTATATTTGTTAATATTTATTCCTATCTCATATTAAATATATATTTAATTACATTTATTATCACATTCATCACTAAGTTTATCAATTAATTTCGATTTTAAGTTTTCCAGCGTAATATTATCTTATTATTTTCAAATTTTTAGTGGCGTAATATTTATCTACCATTTTTAAATTTCTAGTAAATAATAATTATTCTGAAATTGTCCAACAGGGAGAAAGAAATTGCAACCTTGTCCTACGAGATAGA